CTAAGAAAGTGTAAAAGTGCTTAGGAAAAATTCTCTTCAAAACACAAATATATAAACTGTAAGTTTACATATTGAATTGAATTTTCAAACATGGACTTTATAATTAAACGAGATTTTATACGCGAGAGGCTAATTTATATGTAAAAGATGTGAAAGTCTTATCAACCAAGGTCATATTTAAAAGCACTGATCTCAAAAGACATTTTTCGATAAGCATAGGACCCAACTTCAATTATTAAAACCAAGGCCAAAAATTATCAAAATGACTATAATTCGACTTGAAAATGTCACTGAAAGTTTGAAATAGCGACCGGTGACAAAATCCATATGAACAGCTTCAGTAGTAAATAATACAGTATTTACAAATAATTAACATATTGCAAGTTTGTATGACTGGAGAATTCAGTTTCTAAAACGGAACATTTTTCGCCGTTGCCTTTTGGACAATATTTTGACCTTCCCTTTTTAGGACAGTTAAAAGAGTCTGAGAACTTTCCAGGATCTGATAAATAAAACTAAAGTGATAAACAGATATTACGCACCTTCATATAAGCTGCCTCGGACTCTGCGATCGTTCTGTCATACTCATTCCGTGTGGATAGTTTTTTCTCCAATGATTCATTTACTCTGGTAAGCTTATCATTGAGAACATTTATCTCCCTTTGAAGTTTAGCGCGTTCAGTTTCATCTTGTTGAATCTGTCGCTGTAAATCTTCTCGTCTCTTACAAAGCTCTTCAAAGCCTTAAATTTCAATAAGTAAGCAAAAAATGCCATACATTTAACAAGTTCATTATTATAGTTCTGAAGTGCAGCTCCTTGGTGAGACATGAGATTGGAATGTTCTTCAGTTAGTACGTTAAAGTCTAAGATTCAAGCAAGTTTCTACTTGCAGTGCTCTAAAGACTGGGCACAGTAGTCTGAAATAAAAATAGAGGAAAACGTAGACCAATTTGGTGGGGATAATGAATGGATAATACGTAACAGTACACATATGTAAATTGGAGGTAGTCCATCAAAGTAAGGAATACTAGAAATCTCAATGAATATCACAAATACTTCTCACATTTATAGACAAGAACGACCGTGGAGATTATTAGTGTACAAAAATGGATTCAGGGGAATCTATTGAAATGAAAGGACAGAATGTCGAACTTGCAGACGGACGGAGAGCAGTAGAGCGAACCGTGCGCTTTCATTGTCATGACACTAACAAACACATTCAAGGTATTCAAATAGATCAACTGGTTCTCGAGAAAAGCAAGAGCTCAATGAAAAAAGTTTTTCGTTTAGGTCTTTTACGCCCAGCATTTTCGCCAAAAAGTAGGTGCAAAGTTCCAAAAAGGATTCAGGTAGTATGCTGAAAGATGAAGGCAAACGTTTAAATACAGATTAATTTCTGTGTTTTCAGAGATTATGAGGATCATGGAAATGGTTATAAATAATTCTTTTCGATTCTAATGACTCGAATGCTCTATTCTATATAACTATGAATATGTATTTCCCCCAGGTGGATCATATAATTCAAGCCTATTGACCACCTGGAATATTTGAACACTTAATGGAACATAATTGTACCATGCATATGACCCAACAATATTTCCATTTGGCAGTTGACAGAGCTGGCCACCAAATCACTAGCACAAGTATGAGATCGCTAAGCACTAATGTGTGTTTGATTTAGTGGTTACAAGTTTGTTTGATGGGAAGATTCGAGAATTTTAAGTCGGAAGCTTCCATCCCTAAGTTCGTGAAAATACAATATATACTGGGAGTTTACCCCTTAGACCCCCGGAAGGTATGACGAAAAAGCTAAATCCTTCTCCCAAGATCCTGATACTAATAACCAGTTTAGAATTATCATCCGATAAGAACAGAATAGGAACGTTGAAGTCACTCAAAAATCGTCAAAAGAAAGTCCTCTGCCAGAAATATGTTCAGCAACCGGAGTTTAAATAATCCTTACTCTGCATAACCTCCCTGAAACCATGGATTTTTCAACTGTTACCCTTTTGCATTACTGTTTAGGTAGCTAGTGAGTTAAAGACAGTCACTGAATATTGCAGTCAAGCCGTGAATCGTGTTGAAAGGAATGTCTTTAAGTAATATGCCAGCAATGTTTATATACATAGTCTAAGTTGCTACGCTCATACTCAAATCACCAGAACGTAATTCCTTTCGAGACGTGAAACTATACGAAGATTCGATGGTGACAACTATCGTGCCAGGTGATTCAAGAGTTGCCTGGAATAGCCTTAGTAATCGTGATGAGGCAAGGAGTTGAATGACACGATTGACGAGTGCACTGGCTGGGGTAAGTCTTTCTGAAACGCACCGTTACTGTTCAAGAAGTAATAACATTCATCTATTCATCTGTGGTCTAGAGACTTTGTCAATGGTCTTCTAACGATTATTTGGTTTAAATATTCTCCGTAATACATAATTCTGTTAAATGCCTACTACAGGTTGTTGGGACAGAATGAACAATTAAACTAGACATAGTACAGCTGCTTACTAAGGCAAAATAATTGGCAGTCAACTCCGAATAAATGTTTCAAATCCGGACATACAAACGATACCACCAACAATTAGCTTAACCGAAAATGTAGTGAATGAAAAACACATGTACAGTCATCTGGTTTCGTTGTGTATTGCTCCGTACAACTTCCGACAAAATATTACTCGGCTATGTTGTGGTTATGATGGATGAAGTAGCTTAATTTGATGGAGCAAACTGGGTCCAATACTATGTATGTAGTTTCATTGTTGTCCAACCACACATTCATCAAAGCCGAAGATGCCAAAACTGAGAAGATCCGCATTAAACAGTTAAAATTATAGAGATAGTTTGAAATGGTGAACATGGAAACAATTGATCGGTTTGGTATGGCTCTGCTACGCTAATAAGATAGAACTTCCTCAGTAATTATAGAACTAGGACATTCAATTTCTTGGTTTACCAGAGTATTTAGCTGGTGAATTTTAATGGATTTGTACTCCCTGTAAAATGTTTCATTTTCGTTCCGTAATGGTTTTACTTTTGGAAACGCAAATCGATTAAAACATACGAAAATAGCTTCAGTGGGATTACAAACACCAAAGCAGAATTTAACACAAAAAACGACATCAACAGTGTTTTCCAATGAGTCATCTGTAAACTAATCCCAGCTTGTCATATGAAGCATGTTTTTGAGATGTTGGATATTTTCTTCTGATAAATTTATGTATTTAACTTTCTTTTCCTGACACAATAATATGCCCTTTGCAAGCCTGCTATGTAGTCTGGGTAGAACACTGATAATGCAGTGAACAGAACAAAACGAAGTGTGTTTATAAGTCATATATTTTCCAACGCCACTATTTAATGAAAACTAATTCTAAATGGACATTCGAATGAGTGGGAAAATCGACTGAATTTTAGTGATACAGTGATGAAAGAAAGCTACTATCACTTAAATTAAATTCCCCATATCTAAATGAAAGCAAACCTTTGAAAGTAGTAACAGAAAAATCGGTGAATTTTTCGTGCTGGTATGTACCACCCGTTCTATTCATATGAATAACCAGACTAGTAGTGAATAGGCCTTTACTTAAATCGTGATACAGGATAAAATGCAGCGCCAGGTTACCCGTTTTAGACACACAGTTTTCCAACAAACAATACGACATAATAGGAAATATAATCTCCATACAAGATAAGGATTTGAATGAATACTGGAGCTCTATTGATTCGACATATACTCAGATGTTTGAGGTCAATTCTTAACATATCAACCTATTTTGTTACAAATTCATCAACGGAAACAAACAGCGCAGATGAAATAAAGCCGTGAGTCACGTAAATGTATGTAACAAACAAAATTGCATATGTTCCAGCGTTTTGGACGAAATCATAAGTTTAAACTGTCAACAATTTATTCTGAAAACTAGCAAAATTAGGTGGACAGCATTTCAAGTATACAAATGTACAGAACAACGGTCTATTTCGGAAATCAGTGCTACACTAATAATAGACCTAATCGTAAATTGTGGATTCGTAATGATGTTGAAACCTAATCTATACGACCTTACGTGTAGGCCACATCATTATCTATTCCGACTCGTCGTACCGTAACAATCAGCGATATAACGTTTGACGTTTCTGAAGAACACATTTACGCTGTAGATAGAACAATATATTTGATATGAATAAAAGAGATAGGCTACACAAGAGCCAACACGCCTGTAAGGCTGAGCCATACCAAACGATTGAATTGAATGAATGTTGCCGCGTCCTTTGCTGTTAACCTTCTCCTCGAGTTAATTGATTAGTATAAATGATTCTGGTAATGATATACTCGGCTTCAAATGTCATGTAGTTAGGGTCCAATGCCACTACAAATATAGTTACACCGCTTCACACTTTCTCAGTGGTGCTATTTCTCAGTTTTTCCAATCACAAGATATTTTAAACATATTTCTATAATAACCCTTATAGCGCTTTAAACTAGGCAGCAACTGAATTATGTGACGCATATCTTAATCGCCTCAGCTCATATTCATAAATCACAATTACAAAAGTGATATACTTTCGAGTTCTGGTCATTAACCATACTGTTACCAGAGATTTTCAACAAATGTTTTGTAACTATATCAGTTTTGGTAATAAAGTGCAAAAAAATTAGATAGACTTTGAAAAAATGTATAAGAATTTTTATTTCGACGGTAGCACTACTCTTTAGTCTTTTAGTAGCTTGCCTGATAAGCCGTGTAATAATGGGTTAAGTTTCCTTTTTATTCAGGTTAGCGCTGACAACATTAGAACTTATAATTTACAGAATGTATCAACCTGTGATCAACACTATCGTGGATTTTTGAAATTTCTGTGAAAGGACATATTCAACACATGTTTCATACTCCTAAATGTATTCCATTGTATAGGAAAGTTTTTTTCACTGAAGAATGAAAGGTAGAAAAATTAACTGACATACGCCCTTAACCGAAGACTGACAAAAATTCGGCGCACAGTTTGTGCGTTCAAGGTCAGACAAAGGTTGTTGTGAAGTCTTGATAACTACGATGAAGGTTATTGGCAGGGAGCTGAATAAAAACTCATCTGGATATATTACGCTTATTGCAGAAAATGAGGAGGACATGTGGTTAACGTACAACTTAGTCCAGGTTGGAGATAAAATGAGATGTTCTACGGTCAGAAAGGTCCAGAATGAATCTGCAACCGGTAGTGTGCAGACGAAGCAAGTGAGAACCAACCTAACAATAGAGGTAGAAAAAATTGACTTCGATTTGCAGGTGAGCATCAAGGGTGTTCCTCATCATTGTTAATCGAATTTCGACTCATTATATTAATCAGTGAAGTCTAAAATTCAGATATTCGAAATGTGAACTTCAAGGGTTTTTTAACGGTGTGTAAACCTATGAGTGACAGGTATTGAAGAATATTATTGGATTGAGGTTGATATGCTTGACTGGGAGCTTAAACAATGAAGTTGTCGTGAAACCTTGTTTTTCCTTTGGCTCAGCTAACACTAGGTGTTCAATTCCTTCTTCATAGTTTTTAGTAACAATGTTCACAGCAAAATCTTGAAATAAATGAGGTATACGGTTTTGTTTTCAGACCAACGGAAGTCTTTGAAATGGTTAGAACATTGCGAAGTAAATTTGTTTGACGTAATTTCCAAAATGTATGGTGCTTAACAACGAATAAATTATTAGGATGGAAACGGCGTTTCGGCGTTGTATGACAAAAAGTGTTACTATTTGAACTTATCGAAATAGTCAATTAGCTGATGACAGAATAATTCAGAAGATTCTGAATTATCCGTGTTAAAACCCTCGTCCCGCTTTACACATCGATCAGGGCTTCGCTTTCATTGCCGAGTTTATGACGGCCAATAAATACTTAATATTCGTTGGTCCTAGATATTTGATCATTGTTATATTTAAGACATTGCTTTCATAAAGTGGGACCACTTAGTAATCATTAATAATGTGGTGGTTAGTAAACTTGGTAAATACGGGTAGAATACTCGAATCTCATGGAATTAGTTGACAGTCCGTTCCAAAAAGTGTAAGGTTTACATTTTGCAACCAAAATGCTCATTCGCTCTATAAAACTAACAAAACGTCTTGCGTTCACATCCTAAGTGTATCTCCTGATTGCGTTAGGTCATTTTGATGTTTGTCTTTTATCGCCTACATTATATTGGCAATTTATATTGAAAGTATTTTTTCTTAAATAGGGTTCAGTACTTCACTTGAAAGGCCGCAATGTGGTAGAAAATCAGTTTGTCAAAATGGGCGCCTACCACACATTAGACCTTAGAATCGATGAAAAGTTTACTATCACTAAAACAGAATGGGATAGTGTTGCAATTATGCTTGTCGAACAGGCATCTGACCCAACACAACAAGCTGATCTTGCTGCAGTTATCATGCACGAAGGCCTGGCTTATGTTTGTTTGATAACAAGTACAACAACTATTGTTCGTGCGAAGATTGATACTACAATTCCACGCAAACGTCCAGGTTTACCTACTGCTCAGCACGAAAAGGGTCTGTCACGCTTTTTTGAACAAATAATGCAAGCACTAGAGCGTCACATTCGTTTCGACAGTAAGCTTTTGCATCACATTGCATTTACTTCTGTGTTATATACCTTTATGCATTTGTTTCTGTTCAAGGATTTCGAAACCATATTGCTTATTGCCTCAGTTATAAATATTAGTGGAATGATTTCGTAGTGGCTGAATCAGTTAAGGCGTAAACATTGGCTTCTTTACTGGAACCCGGCCACATCAACTTCGATCCAAGCACCTAAGCACTATTATTAACTCTTACATAGGAAATGTAGCTCAAAGCTTGATACACTAAGACCGATACGTCGTGAATGAGTTATATGAATTTATTAAATCCTTTGATATTATAACTTTCCTATTTGAACTACAACTACTCCCCTCCTACAGAATATATACACAAAACTTATCACTAGATGTTAACTTAAGTGATATTCCAATCCTCATCAATAATCCTATCCCTTCAATATGAAGAATCATAAATGGTTAATTAACTTAATACTTAGTAGTGTGTTTTATTTTAGTGTTATTTCAAAGCGATCGAATGGTTGTTGTATAATTCATCCCAAATTTTAAATAGATTTAGTTTCAAAAGGATATAAAGAAAAGAATAACATTTGTGTTTCTAACTAATGCCGTCACTTTTTTTCTCCGCTTTTTCAAACTATCATTTAATGAGTTAATACTGAATAAATTCAGTCAGCTAATCAGTCTTAGTTTGTGTAGATCTTAGGACAAATTAATAGAGTAAAAAGCAAAAAGAAAGAGGGAGAATATTCATTATCATAGAAATATGGAAACATGAAAGATACTGTTGTGAAAGGAATATATAGGATCAAAGAATGGAAATTGGATGATGATAATTAAGTCAGGATTTAGAGGAAATGGAGAATTAATTTTACTGCATTGTTGCTGTCTGTTTTAATGTAACCTAACATTCGAAACTATCGACTACAACTTCCGTACAATTCCTGACTAGGACGTCTGCACTCATAGTTGTGACTTAAACTAAAAGTCAATGAATTCATGAATTAGTATCAGATATTGATACTGAGATAATACAAATATATAAAATAAAACAAAACTACGTAGAATATGTACTAGGTGCTCTGCACCTTCTTACATGAATAACAGCCAATAATTTCATGGATTGGTGCTATTTCTTAGTTTTTCCAATCACAAGGTTTTTTAAACATACTTCTATAATAACCCTTATAGCGCTTTAAACTAGGCAGCAACTGAATATATGTGACGCATATCTTAGTCGCCTCAGCTCATAAATCCTCGTAATCCCATCAACCAATTCATCACTTACTTGTAGTTCTGCATACAACATCAACATTGCCTATTTGGTGAATTCAACATGCATAAACAAGACTTTGAGGGCGCATGTAACCAAGTACTTACAGTTTAGGTATGTCTTCCACATTCTAGCCCATCCACGACAAGTGTAATATAAAAAAAGCGAACTGTCGTTCAGCACTTTTCCTTAAGACCATTGATGACTTCACTTACATCAGAATTCTCATCAATTCTCGTGGATAAGAATCTGATGGTATCTCGACACATATTTAGAAATGTCTGTTGGCTTTTGCCAGCGTGCGTCATTTGTGGCGTTCCACTTTACAGGTGTGAAATGTGACCATTAAAAGTAGGGGATGTTCTTAGGTTACTAAGATGCAGTCATAAGTGTCTTTGAAAAAATATTCACCTGTTTGAACTGTCGAGTGAGGAATATTGAGGTTAGGCATGGGTCACTAGTTAAAAATGATAAACCGACTGGTGAGGTAGTAAATCCATACCTACTGAGTCGATTGGGATATGCAATAATAAATATCCACAGCCACCGCCTTCCTCAACCGGTGATTTTGCCTGGTATAAGATTCAGGTGAAACAAAGCTATGAACAACCAAACCAAGACGTGGCATCAGCCTATGAAATTATTGGAATTTTCGGACTGAGTTTTAGTGATAAGTAGAGATTACCTGGTTGGGGTGCGCATAATTATCAAAATTAGTGATTGAAGATGTTGGGTAACATGACTCTGAATCGTTCGTAACGGCGCAGATACATGCACTCTTTGTCTACCTTTAGATACAGAGTCAGAAAAGTCTATACTTTCTTCTATCCTTTCTATACTTAGTCTTTTCTGCCACCGATACTACTATTGACAATTACTACTTCTACTCTTCGACAATTTCATCTGGTTGTGTTAATGTGAATCGATAAATATATTTGCCAATTTCTATGTTGCATATAACTGAATGACTGCATCTCTACACTACAGGTAAAGTAATCCGATTTGAAATGGTTTGGATTATCGTGTTATTGATATTTTTGGCTGAAATTTGATCAGTTTTAGTTGGTGTGTGGACATTCTGTGCGGATTGCCTCGATATAGCCATTATGACAGGTTGATACAGAACAGATGAAATGTAGCTAGCAGATGAGTCAAGGGCGCTCATCCCGTTTTATTTGGGACTTATCAGCTGGGTGTCCTGGATTCCAACGTTAGCCGCATTCCATCTATTCTATATCAACAGGTAAAGTTACCAAAGATAAAATGGCCATTTTGCAACTCTGCTGATTTACTTGGAAACTTTGTAATGCCAAGTCCCTAAATAAAACTACGTACCTGAAATAGAGTTCAAGCTTTCTTAATTACTGAATGTATCCAATCACATACTTCTATCCTACTATGTTTGTTTTTATTATTACACAAAAAACCATAGTACAATCGAACATCATAAAATCCCCCACACCAAACAACAGGTTAATATTTTGTAAATATAACAGAGCAAAACTGATAAAATCAGTAAGGAAATTTTAAGAAACTAAGAATACCGTGTGTTAAAATACACAGTTCAAGTGAAACTTTAATCAAAACATATATGATTCAGTATAAAGTATGTATGAGCCACTAGAATGATATGTCTTTGAAGTTGGCGGAACCATTAATTTATCGCTAAAGTCTCTTTCTTTAAAATTACAGTCCTTATCTACAAAAATCTTGATACCAAACCAGATATTATGATCAAATTATTTGCACCTAAATCCTGTGATGCTTTTCAAACAAAACCCTTAATTTCATTTTTTTTGTCAAATTTAATTTAGTCGTCAAGTGTATCATATTAGCCAGTCCTGGATTTCTACGTGAACAATTTTTTGAATTTATGATCCAGACAGCAACAAGACAAGAGAAACGTGTATTCTTAGAAAATAAATCAAAATTTATGCTTGTTCATTCTTCATCCGGTCATAAACATGCATTGAAAGAAGTACTCACAGATAGTGTTGTTATGAGTAAACTAGTTAATACAAAAGCAACATCTGAAGTTACGGCATTAAATGACTTTTATCAAATGCTTAAAACAGATCAATCACGTGCATTCTATGGGTATGTTGTATTGTATAAACATTTTCTAAACTTCATTTATAAATTAGTGATAATACAACATTCCCTTTTATTTGTAGTATATAATGATCAGCCAGTCAGTCGATTGTAGATAACATAAGACAACCCCAGTATAAATATGTCCTTTACCTCGTATTACCACATTTGGAAGTGTTTTTTTTAGATATCAGAAAGATTCTGACATGTATACACTTTAAATTTCTCATAGTAATTGAGTCGTTGTGTTCACTAATCTTCCTGTTAGGAATCATTAGTGTGTTTATATTTTGTAGAACATAGTCGTATGATTTATGTATAGGGAAGAGAATTTTAAGGCAACTTTTAAAGTCTTCACAACCAGTTTAGTTTCATAAATTGTTTTGTCACAGGAAGATCATTTGTCTTCTTGAAAATGCACAGTTGTGATATTATTGATTAAAGCACTTGATTTCTTTAGGTCTCAAGTTTGAACTTCACTTTATAATACCTTGATCTATACAGCTGAGTAATATTACCAGCATTCATATAAGTAAAAGTTAACTCGACTCTGAGTAAATAAACTTATCCTTGGTAAGTAAATTATATCAATGCTAGTTGACATCCTGCTTATATTTTGTCGGACATCTATTTCATGTTAATATCATAAAGAATTTCCCTTGCACTTGAAATGCGTACATCGATATTCCATTGTAGATGTGAATTGTACATGGTTATATGGACCAATTACTTACTTACGCCTGTTACTCCTCGTGGAGGAGCATATGTCGCTTATCAGCACTCTCCATCCAACCATGTCCTGGGAAATATATGAACTAGTACTTATCTTGAACTAATAAAGGTCAATAAAGTCACAAATTGAGAAAGTTACTGTCTGTAATTTAATCTCAACATCTAAAATTATTAGCACACCTATATCTGTGTAAACAACTTCAACACCGTGAAAAGCAACCTACAGTAATTATGTTATTTAGTAATTCTCTGGTTAGATGTGACATTGCATTGTCAAAAGGGTGAAATCAAGTCTGCGAAAATCGATTAGTATGATATTGCAAATATGAGTTCATATAGCAAGTTATTGATCGACTGGTGTGTAATACTCAGTCAAATTACATTAATCTGAATTAATCCGGCCGAAATAAATCATACAGAATGTAGTGTATACATATGCCACTTTGGTTTATTTCTGAGGTCGAATAAATCCTTAGCACCAGTCTTTGTTTTTCACTAAACGTCATAGGATTTGGGATGTCAGTGTATCAAGCCCAAACCAGTTGAACACTGAGAGTATTACAGTCCTAAATATAACAAAAGGGATTCAGTTATGCTCTAGTCATGTTAAAACTTGACAGTATAATCCATCAAAATAGGGTCAATAACATTATCAAGATAACCATGCAAAAATGCCCATTTCATAACAAATTCATATTACTTCAATCAGTAGGTCAAATATTTGAGACTAACAAAACAGAGTCTGACTACTTCAACGATCGTATGATTATTTCCATTGTCATAAACTGTCTTCAGTTAGTAAACCATTCAAAATCACTGACCATATAAAATCTGTTTCATCCTAGTGTAGAGCTACTCAGTAATGCACATCCATACAGGATTTAGTCACAGTGTGATGTGTGCTATTGATGTCGACAGATATAAGTAGTATATATCATCAATTGAAAGTAAAATGCCTGAAGGCAGAAGGTTAAAAAGATAAAAAAAAAAGAGAACAAGAACAGAGAATAACTGGTGTGGAAAAGAAGGGACAACAAAGTCTGAGACAATTGGTGGATATTCTGCAAAGGAAGTATTTACTGTATGGTTCTCAGATTTTACTAAGAAATTTTGTAACGTGTTAAAATACATTTGGTTGTCCCAGCTATTGTTCACGTTCACTGTTATAGGACCTTCAAGTCTTGTAGAGAGCACGACACATTTAAATGACTGAGTTGGTATCCAATAATCCATATTTTTTAATTAAGTGAATATATGTATGCTTTGGAGCAATCCTCACTTCATAGTAACCTTAACGATATAATTCAATGAGCACTGAGATCTAGAAAAACTTGACGTTGGCCACCACTCGGTGCTCAAGCAATATATCTCAGTTCTACGAAAGGCCAATCGTGCCCTGAATAGTTCAGTAGTAATGTACCAGACTATGAATTTGGGTAACTCTGGTTAGAATCTCACGGTGAGCATCAGTGCTTAAAGACCTAACGAGTTCCAACCAACAGAAACTTTAGGTCATGGATTTCTTCTCGACTACCTCTAACTATCTATGACGTACAGGAAATACAAATTTCTACAGGGCAACTAGGTTAATAACCAGTAATCGTTTGCTCATTGGTGACCAATCACCGAGACTAACCCTATTTAGGTCCTGGTAGGAGTCTATGACCTGAGTTGGCTATTTCGAAAGTGATAGCTACCGTCTCTAAACTATATATTTTTAAAATCTTTAGAAAATACCCTTAGGAACTTGTTGATACCTTGCTTGTTGGTGTTATGTCCCGACAAGAATAGTGAATGGTAACTTTTGGGACCCATTTGTGGACCAATACTATACGTATATTTTTATCGTATAATTGTTAATTAACTAAAGTACTCATGTCCATGTCTCTCTTATCATAAGCTTTATTTTAATGTATGAACTGTTATTATACGATTTTGCATTCTTGAATGATTCCCTGTTTATTAATCACTACCTCCCACATTCACAGCCACATTTGGCCAAATTTTGTACAAATGTTATTTTCTATTTTATGGTACGTTGTGGTCTGTTTGGTTGGTATATAAACTCAGTACGTTTGGAATATAATGATTCATATCGCAGAGGCTCGGATTGGTGTTCTGGACTTAGATGGCTGGGCTAGGTGGAAAGCAGGACCAATCAAGACTCTAGACTGCTCGCACGTGTATACACGTCATTGGTCCGATCAATAAGTCACTGTCCTCTAATCGGCGGTCACAAGTTATAACAGTTGGATAAACAATATTCGTAGTAGTAACTATCTTACATTTGTTTTTTTCAGTTAATTCATTCAATCTTTTTTATTCATTTTACTTATATAATTCAAACGTAAATTCAGTTACAAACATGTTAAGACGGCTGCTGATGCATGCGCTATTGATACACTACTGATAACTGATGCATTATTCCGTTCACGTAATTTAGAAGAAAGAAAACAATATGTGGAGTTAGTTGACCAAGTTAAAGATAATCAAGGCATTGTACGCATATTTTCAAGCCTACATGTTTCTGGTGAACGTAAGTTTTTTTTATTGTTACATACTCTTACCTAATATAATAATAATAATTTTTGTGTACTGTTCATGCGAGAGCTAAACTGTGTTTGTAGTTGATCATGCATAAAATATCCCAACCACCTCACCTGATGAAGTTCTGAACCGTCACCAACATATTCACTGCTACCTATGTTGTAATCCTCCTTCAATCCTAATATTAATCATTCCGTAACTTCACCGTATGCGGACAATGCCTGGAAAACGTCTATGATCTAATAATAGCAAGCTACGACATGCTTTCTACCTTTAAAGATCACTTCTGACAATCGTGAGATAATACACAACAATCTTCTCTGCAGTATACTTACGTTTAATAGGAAAACGAGTATATCGTCTATATCAACCTTCCTGGTGTTTATAACAATGTAAATATATCCAAGCAAAACTATTAATGAAACGCTTATTCTGAACCCATCTATAAAAACGCCAGGACATTCTCTCTTAAGTGACAATAGTTGTTTCTGTCCAATTGTTATGTGTCACCAGTTATCAATTTCCGTATATCAAATATTAAGTTTAATAATTAAACCACTTCTCATTATTAATTGACGTCATAACCGTTTTGTTTTATTTTTTGAATTTGATGATATAAAAATTTGTAGAGCTTAACCAACTATCAGGTGTAGCCGCAATATTGCGCTTCCCAATACCTGAACCTGTGACAGATGACGAGTCGAATAGTTCCGAAGATGACGATAATTAACTAATTAGTTCTTCTACTTAACTTTGTACTCAATGAATTTTTTCCATAAGTAAACATGTATATTGTGGTTTGTGTCTTTCTATCGATATTATTATTCTGATTTTCATTTTCACTTGCCTCCTTTTTGACGTCCCCATTCTTTGAGTTCGTTGTTAGTATTATTATTTATCTTCTTCACTCTTTAATTGTCCTTTGTGCTGTTTTTACATTGTTGCTGTGCTTATATAATACCGTGCAGCTTAAAATCAGTATCCATTTGTGCCAAATCCCAAGTTCTGTACTTTCATTTGTCTCTCCTGTACAAAATTATATTGAAGTGTTTGCTATTTCTATGGTATCTTACTTAAATTTAAAAATGATTTCGTATTATATCTTCGGGGATAATCTTGACATACGCAGATGAATTCGCTAGTCGGACTTACCATTCCGAATAGGAAGAAATAAAATTATGAAATTTACGTCCTAACCTCCTCTGAATGACAGTCATTCCCCTTGTTTGAAAATAACCCAGGTCTTCCAAGTATTATTGTGCCAAACTAGCCATCGTTTCAGCAAACAAAACGTAGGACTTTGTAAAAATGTGTGTCGGTCTAAGTTACCACACTACCAGTTGTTAAGTCACCAGGTCTAGTAAAAGTTCTAAGATCCATTAATGTTTCTAGCTATTTTTGACCATCTTGTTGATTTTGGACAGTGATGAGGTAGCGAAAATTCCCATCTGGATGGTGAAAAAGCATCTGAATCAGAGGTTCCTCCTGACTATTTCTAAACACCTGAAACCCCAAATATTCATGTACTATTACTCAAGTGTTTATAAAACCTTAATTTGCCAGCTTTTTCGCCAAAAGATTACTGTCTATTATGAGTGAATTCCAATAAGAGATCAAATACTCAGAAGTTGGGAGAAAAACGTGTTACCTTTAGAAGTATGTCCATGACAATATTTTCTGCAAAGAAGGGAAAGTTAATACCCGGCAATGTAATCGATCCAAATATTAGTTGAGTACAAAATCTAATCGGACTACAATTGTCCAAATAAATAGCCTTCAGCAGAAATGATGTGTGTGACTGGTATCTCTTTCAATGTCTCGTGATCAATGAATTTGAACGACTCCGGATACATGAATATAATTACAGTCGAGCGGGAACTGGTCTATCTGGGGATCTGATGCAGTATAACGTTTTAATCAATGCACCTATAATCATGGTTATGTGTTTAGCCTTATTGGGTCAACTGTTTCTGCATCCTAGTCAAGCGCCAGATGATTACGAAATCTAGCACCTCAACGTATACATCAGTCGGGCTTACTCCTGTGTGGCGATATTTATTTAAACGCATAAACGTTGGTACAAGGGATCATCAGATATATATGCGCCACACTGTCATTCGATTTGTCCATTAATGATAGCCAGAAATTTATATTTGCATGACTACAACTTTCCTACGTGTCTCAGTATTGAGACCTTTTGTAATGTTTCAACTCTTAGTTTGAGAGTGAGGTCAACACACAGATGGAGACGCATCTGTACACTGGCCAATGTCACTGAAATTCAAAACCAATAATCTATTTATTATGTATTTGTCCATTTAAACACAATTTACATCAACAGACGTTTTCTTAATGAGTTCCTCTTGGTAGACTAGAATATTATACATACTGAAGTCCTTCTATGATCCATTATTCAAAATATATTTGAGATTAAGCAAAATAGGTCAATATATTTAGATTATGTTCAATATACATGAACCATGCCATAAATAAAAGTCCAAAATAAAATATAAGTAGTTAGTTCTCCGAAAACCCCTCCATACGTTAAACACGAACGCTGAATAAAGTATTTGTTCCATGATTTTCCTGCCTTTTGTAACAGTAACAATGATAGGAAACCATGCGCCAGAAAATAAAACATAAATCCCATGATTCCTGCAGATTGCATTAAGGTATTAATAATAATCTTACCTGTCAAACCTAATATCCCGACTGTACATCCAGAAAGTGCCGCGATAGATATGCGACAGTAGTTAATCAAAGCAAGGTTATGTTGTGCAGCAGCGGGACTGTATGTAATTAAATCTACTGGAGATCCCATTTAGTAGCTTTTTCCTATTTAGCTGTAGAAGTATTTCTTGAGGACACTCGGTATATAACTGGTTTAGTTTGCTTCCACTCCCCGTTTACTTCATACAGAAGTAACCAAATATAAGTTTACCTGGTTTGATCCAAAAATACGGACAATTAGATATAAATCGTGGTTTTTAATATAATTCAAAAATATTTAAATGCTTACGATCGTTGATACATAAGTAAAGACGATAAGAACATGACAGTTCTTGCATTGTCAACCATAACATGCTACAACATCATTCGTAAATTATAAAGTAGCTGTGTTATAGTATACGATTAAGTCTACAATGTTGCTATTCAAGCCACTGTAATTACTTACGACATAGAAATTACGGATATTTTCACATAAACAATGGGCTTCTGATTTGATAAGTATAAATCAGCTATCCATAATTTCAGATTTATTAGTGGAAAATGTATAGAAACATCGAAGTTACATAAAAAAGGTCACTTGACTCATCCTCCACTTTCTTCACACAGTTTTAAACTTAAGTATGAAGGAAGAATTCAAAAAGGTAAAACTTATTATTCCATCATGAGTTTATGCAGTCGCGCTTTCCGGAGCTTTTGCAAAGTCAGTCAGTAACAACGTAGAACCTCGTACGTACGTACATCAGTTCGAGTTGCTACACCACATTAGCACAGAGATGCAGTTGTCGATTCAAATCCCGTAGTGGTAGAGGTAATAAGAGTATAAGCAGTAATCGGGAAGATTAGTGTTTGGAGATGTTACTTAAATAGTATAATACAGTGAAATAAATTTAAGAAGAGAAAAAAAAGAGACAGGGAGGAATAAGGAGATCAAAATTTGGGAGAACACAAAGTGTATGCACCTGCGCCATTGCAAACGATTTTGAGCCATATCATTCAGGGTCTCTAACCATCGGTTGCTATTGTCTCGCGGATCCCAACCAGGTAGTCTACACCTACCAACATGACTCAGTCTACTTGTCAGTGACTTCATGGACTTGTGCCATGTTTTGGTCTGGCCGCCCCTAGCTTTCTTCCAACCTATTCCTATACGACTGAACATCGCACGTCGAGGAAGTCAGTCGTTGGGCATACGTAACACGTGTCTCAACCATCTCAACTGATGAAGTTCCACTACTTCATCAATTGATTTGCCATCCTTACCTAGTACCCGTTTCCTAACAACTGCTTTACTTACTCGATGGTCCTAGGATATACGAGCAATATTTCGAAGACACCTATGATCAAATACTAGTAACCTACGAATATCCTCTACTCTTACCGGCCATGTTTCACTGCCATAAAGTAGGACGGAAGGAACTGCTGCGCAGTAAACACGACCTTAGGTTGATAGACGGATATCTCGCCTACGCCATAAATGACGCAAGTTGGCAAAAGCTAGTCGAGCCTTCTGTATCCGTGCTGAGATTTCGTCACACACCAGACCACAAGGGCTGATGAGACGTCCAAGATAAGTGAGGCGATCGACACGCTCAATTACTTCACTCCCTATCATTAGTTCGGATGTCAATGCAACCCAATCCTGAAGCAACATTTTGCATTTCGAGGGGGAGAATCGCATTCCGAACATGCTTGCATTGTTGCTTCGAGTGGTCAGAAGACTCTGCATTTTGTCAGCGTCTTCGCCAAATGAAACTATGTCATCAGCATATTCTAAGTCAACAAGTGAACCTCCTGGTAGAAGTTCAACCCCTGGAAATCTAGACAAGGAAAGTGTTATCTCTAAAAGTGCGTCAATGACAAAGTTGAACAAGAATGGAGAGAGTGGACAGCCCTGACGAACACCACTTGAGGTAATCAATTCTGATGACTGTTCGCCATAAGCTCTCACTCTACCAGTTGTGTTCGAGTAGAGAGCCTGTATAAGGTTAATGTACTTCTTTGGTACTCCTTTCAGTGACAAACTGCCATAGAACCTTACGATCAACAGAGTCGAATGCCGCCTTAATGTCGAGAAATACTACGATTGTGGGGCGTCTGAACGTGTGTCTGTGTTCTAGAACCTGACGTAGTGTGAATATCTGATCTATACAACCACGTCCATGTCGAAAACCAGCCTGATTTTCTCTAGTCTGCTCTTCACGAGCTTTGGTTAGGCGTCCAAGTATTATTGAAGCTAATGTTTTAGACACTATATTAGTCAAACTGATTCCTCTGTGATTGTCACAAGAGGACTTTTGTCCTTTCTTAAAAACTGGCACAATCAGTGATTGAGACCAGTCAGATGGGATTACGTCCAGTTCCCAAATTCTACCTAAGACCTCAGTTAATCTCACTGCTAATACTGAACCACCATCCTTAAAAATTTCAGGAGTAAACCTATCAGGGCCTGCTGTTCTCCCTCGTTTCAGATTTCCTATGGCTTTTTCAACTTCGTAAAGAGACGGAGGACCTACATTAACTTGCCATTCAGGTTGACTGGAGATCGTGGGAAACCGAAGTGTGGCTGAAGGCCAGTTGAACTGATCCCTAAAGTGTTCTGCCCATCGATCCAATCTCCTGGATTGAGAATGTATAATATGTCCATCTTTCTCTGAGAGCGTTTCGCTAACAGTCGGTTTCCTTAACAAGTCTGAACAATTGTCTGCTATTACCTATTGCCGCTCCTTTCCCATCTCTCTTGCTTTTGCTACCCACCACTGTTATTATTATTATTAATGGCTTTATTCAATATTATAGTTTTGGTACAATATAGAATTCTCAGCACAGGTTATTTCAACAAGTTGCTTACGCAACAAAAAAAACACAGTAACAAATACAAAAAAAGAGAAATGTCAGCTTGCGCTTAAGCTGACTCCGCTCTTCATTATGTTCAGAGCCAGGTGGAATGAGTTTCCGAGCATCTATCAGTGCGATAGATGCTGTTGAGATCCAGTGTTGCTCCCTAACTTTACGGGTTACCGTACTAGCAGATATCACTGCTGTTTCCACAGCTTTTCGGATATCATTCCATGCTGCCTCGGGGTGGGCATCATATACATGGCTGCCTAACTATTTTCCTAGTTGTTCCTGAAATATACTCTTAGCTTGACTATCATTAAGTAGGGCCCTAGAAGGTTTCCTTGCAGCGTCTTTCCTACGTCCTGTAAGACGCAGACAGATACGCGCTCGTACTAGAGCATGATCTGAATCTAAGCATGTGCTCCAGAATGAGCGACAGTCCTCTATAGAGCCCCTCCAGCGGTGGCTGATAGCGATGTGATCTATTTGGGT